TGTGTGTATATATGTGTATATATGTATATGTGTGTGTATATATGTGTATATATGTGTGTGTATATATGTGTATATATGTGTGTATATGTGTGTATATATGTGTATATGTATATGTGTGTATATATATATATAGTTAAACAAGCCACAGGGCCGACAAACCACCCAACTGTTTCTTGGCAATGCTGCGAGCAGCACAGCCGAGCTCAGTTCACGTCCTCAGGAAGTGATTGTTAACATTCAAACTACAGCTGATGATTGTTTTCATTGTCGATTATTTTAGGTTTTTGGTCTATCAAATGTCAGAAAATGGGGAGAAATGTCAATCGGTGTTTCCAAAAGCCCAAGAAGGCCTCATCTTGCTTGGCGGTTCTTGGTGCACACTGAAAAATTCAATCAACACTGTTTTTGATATTGTTTTAAATTTCAGGTTCCAAGTCAATAAAAATATAATTTCTGCTTTTCTCTTTTTCATATAGTTTATAGTTGGTTTCAGACTTCTGCATCGACAAAACAAGCTAATGTAAGACATCACCTTGGCTCTTGGATCTTTGAAAAGTATACACGCTATATGTTGCAGTGTAGAGCGCTGTCAGCGATGTGTGTGCCTGAACAGACTCTCCGTCTGAAGGTGGAGGATAAGGGGTTTTAGTGCGTCTAATCCAGACGCTTGGTTCTAGGAAGCTCCACGACGATGCCGTGTAACCCGGATTAGCAGGAGAGGCAAATGCCGAAGCTGGAGGCGGAGCAACAAATGAGCGTCTAGGGTGTTAGATTGGAAACCGAAACCACTGTTCACAGTGCTATCGAGCCCCCAGCCAGCACCGGATTAGAATGAGACGAAACCTCAATGATTCCCGCCGGGGGAAATTGGGTGGTTTCAACAGCCGATAATGGGACTCAGTGGAGGACAATGTTCCTTTTCACGGGGAAATGAGTGATATTTGGCTTTTATTTTTCTCGCATCAATCAGCCACACTGTTCATATTTGACTGACCGACAGTTTGAACAGGTCATTTGGCAGAGTGTGTGTTGACAGATGTTGTGCTCTTGTTGTTATTGATCTCAGTTTGGTGTTGAACTGTACAAACAAATTAAGTCCTAAACTTCCAGACCGCCAAGGAGGAAGAAAACGCAGGACTTTCACCCAGGAGGCCGCTGTTCGTGTCCCGTTGTTGTAGGATTTATTTCAGCCGGGACAACGCAAGTAGGGAGAATTGGTAGTTTCACATCTTCAATGGAGGTATTGAACATGGGTGTGTGCTCAGTTTGCAATGTATGAAATAAAGGCAGTTTGCACCATTAATATATATGAATAATACAAAAGCGATAGGTGGAAACAAGAGCTGACAACAGCTTTAGTTTTAATGGCATTAAGTTGAGATGACTTGTAACTTTGGGATAAACATTGTGTCTGATAAAGACATTCTTTAGGACCTCAAATGGTCACTCAAAGTGACTGTACAGGCAGTGCCATGACTCAGTCGATTGACAGAAAGCTTTTCACATGAGTAATTGATAGTTCATTTCATCACAAGACTAAGAAAACTATAATTTTTGGTTTCGGAGCGATAGGCAAATGAAACTCTGTTTCGACCAAATATGTCATTGGCAGAGTTTCTTAAATATTGGTATCGGCCAATAAAATCCAGTATAATTTAAGCTTCAAGCAAAACCCACAGTTTTGTATGAAAATGACTTAATTGTCTTTTTTATAGCTCAGATGATTCATTGTCCTCTTTAATGCTCTTTATTTCTCGTCTCCTCCTCCTCCTCTTCCTCCTCCCATTCAGATGATGAAACATGCGTGGGGCAGCTACAGGCGCTACGCCTGGGGTTCCAATGAGCTCCGGCCCATCTCCAAGCAAGGCCACTCCAGCAATCTATTTGGTGAGTGAGAGACAGACACACACACACAAACAGACAAGCAAACACACACACACACACACACACACACACACACACACACACACACGATTGATCTCTTGTCCTTGCCACCAGCTGCCTTGGCCTTTAGATTAGCAGCCAAATTGGCCGTCAGTTCGAGTCATCCATCTATGGACGCCTCTAAATGTCAACTTTATCATATATTTAAATTCCGTTTGTGCTGCTCGCCAGTTGTTGGTGTCTGTGCTGTTAATGAGCGTGGTGACAGAGGCGCAGCTCACATATAGCTCTCTTTCACACAAAACCTTGCTTCTCCGTCTGCCCCTTCGTTTGTGAAATAAAAACGAGGCATGCTGCTAGATGACCGCAGGGCCCCGTTAATAAATATCACATACAGGCACACGTGCACTTTGTTTCTGCAGTGACAAGTCAGGATCCTCCAGTTTAATTGTGTGTGTGTGTGGATTGCAGAAGCCAAATTAAACTAGGATAATAACTGCATCTTTTGTTAAGTCCTTTCTTATCCCCCCAGACACACACACACACTACACTATGTGTTGCTCCTCGTGCGGTCTCATTTTGTTGGCTGAGATCGTTGGCGTAAAAGCTGGACTCTGAGGATTGCCGCCAAAGTAAACATAAAGCTAAAAGGAGATGATTCCACGGATCTGTTGCGACGACACGTGTGCCAACGTGGCAGAGGATCAATACGGCTCATTAAAAATGTATTTGGTTTTTCTCCTAATTTTGTGAAGGGACAAAGAGACCAGATGCTTCAACATATCTAAATAAAAGGGCTTGATATTTAAAAAGCACTCCTGTCACTGATATCGTTAAGATGTAGCTTGGAAGATGAGGCGGACACGATCAAGCAACGATATTGTAAAAAAAATTAGAAATGTTTGGGTGTTAGAGCAGCGTATGTTTTTTTTTTTTTTTTTTTTTTT